GAGCGTGAGCGCCATCGTTCGCGCGTGTGCGGGGTCGGTTCGCGGTCGCGGCCGCGGCGTCGCGCGCGCGACGTCACGGGGCGCGTCACGCGCGGTCGCACATGGGTCTACGAGACACTCGAATACGTCGTGCGACGCCGCGCGGGGGGGGCGCGCGCGCGAACGATACCTTCATGGGCTTATGCGCGCGCGAATATGGGAATCGGCATCTCCCCCGCGCGGCGCACGCGCGGGGTCGGTCGCGCGGGGGGTGGAGAAACGAAACCCCGTACGGGGGCGCACACGTCCGGGGGGTGCAGAAACGAAACCCCGTACGGGGGCGCACACGTCGACGCCCGGGGCGACGCGACCGCGCGCGATCGCGCGTCGCCTCGACCGCGCGCGCGATCGACGACGACGCCGTCCGCGGCGCGCGGCGGGGTGATCGACGTCGGCGCGCGCGCGCGATCGCGGCGGCGGCGATCGCGCGCGATCGCGCGCGACCGAGCGAGGGATCATCATGCGCGTGCATCTCAAACGCGCGTCGGGGGAGAAGATCACGCTCGATGACGTCGACGCGGGCGCGTTCACGGTCGCGGACGCGCGGGCCAAGGTTGTGGAGACGATCGCGGCCGCTGGTGGCGACGTGGGGGCGAACGTGCGGTTGATTTACAAGGGGCGGGTGCTGAAGGATGCGCACACGCTCGAGGCGTGCGGGATGACGGATGACGCGGTGGCGCACGTCGTGGTGTCGAGCGCGGCGAGCGGTGGGAGGGGGGAGACGGAACGGGTGGGGGTGGAGCCCGTGCCGGCGGCGCCGACGGCGCCGGTGGGGGTGGAGACGTCGCCGTTCGGCGGCGCGCGGGCGGATCCGGCGGCGGCGCAGGCGATGCTGAATAATCCATTCATCCGCTCGCAGCTCGATGCGCTGTTGAATGAGAGCCCGGAGACGCTACGAGAGATGTTTGAGTCGCAACCTGGGATTAGGGAGGCGATGGCGGCGAATCCGGAGCTTCGACAGGCGCTCACGGATCCCTCGACTTTGCGGCAGATGTTCAACGCGATGGGGAACCCGGCGCTCATGCAAGAGCAGATGCGGAGCAACGATCGGGCGATGTCGAATATTTCTAGCATGCCCGGTGGGTTCAACGCATTGACGCGAATGTACAGAGACGTGCAGGAGCCGATCGAGCGGGCGGAGCGCGAGCGCGCGGCGGCGGGAGGGGGGACGACGGGGACGCCGACGTCGAACGCGGACGGACCGCTTCCAAATCCGTGGAACGCCGGTGGAGATTCGGCGGGCTCTGGGGCGGCGAGTGCGGGTGGCATGCCTGATTTCGGTGCGCTCGGTGGGCTCGGTGGGCTCGGTGGGCTCGGCGGCGACGGCGGCGGCGACCCGGCGGCGCAGATGGAACAGATGGCGCAGTTGCTTTCGAACCCCGCCATGCGTTCGGCGATGGAAAACGTGATGTCGAATCCGCAGATGATGGAGTCCATGCTCAGCATGAATCCTGAGGCTCGAAGGATGATGGAGTCGAATCCGGCGATGCGGGAGACTCTCTCAAATCCCGATTTCCTTCGACAAATGATGAATCCGGAGAACTTGCGCGCCATGGCGCAAATGCAACAGGCGCTCAGTACGCTGCAAGGGAACAACGCGTTCGGAGGCGCGGGTGGCATGCCCGACCTCGGCGCTCTCGGTGGACTCGGTGGACTCGGTGCGTTCGGCGCACCTCCGCAACCCGCGGGACCACCGGAGGAGGTGTACGCGTCGCAACTGTCGCAACTGAACGACATGGGCTTCTTTGACGCGGCGGAGAACATTCGCGCGTTACAAGCCACGGGCGGTAACGTCCACGCCGCGGTCGATCGCTTACTCTCCGGAGGATTCCCGTGATACGAAACATTTTTTCTGTTTTATTTCTTCTCTTGGATTGATTTCGGTGTCTATAACTCAGATTTTTTCGTGCCGATACATTCGCGCCTTTAAATCCTCGATTCCCCGCGCGTGTTCCTCCTGCGTTCGAGCGACCTGCGAGCACGCCCACGCGAACGCGAACGGGACCAAACCTTGCGCTACGTTTACTACGGTCGCTCCGGAGACGAAAAACGCCAGCGACAACCATCCTAACGACGCCGACGCGCCGACGCGCGCGCCGAACGCGCTCCACCAATTTTCACCCGTCTCGCCGCGCCGCATCCTCGTCCACGCCCCCATTCCCGCCAACGCCGCGCTCAACGCGCTAGCAACGTCTAAGACGTACACCACCATCATCCAACGTTCATCATCGACGTACACGCGCGCGTTGTGCGGGCATCGTCCCCACGCGTCCGTCCCGCTCGGCGCGCCGTACCCGAGCGCGCACCGTCCAATGAAGTACCCGAGCGACAGCGCCACGGACGCGAGTCCAAGCCCGCGCGCCGCGGTCAATCTCGACTGCGCGTGCGCTCGAACGAACGCGTCGATCACCGCGCGCTGTTCGTCCTCATCGAGCGTGTTCGTCGTGGTTTCGTAACGGTTTTGTGACTTCGAATCATCATCGTCCGATGCGTCGGGTCTCCCGAGCTTTTCGTCGATGACGTCTCGCGGTCTTCGTTGACGACGACGGGTGGAATTTTCGTGACGCATTTTCGCGCGCGCGTCGGACGCGAAGGATTGTGAGGGGTGGTTGGCGCGTCGACGTCGCGTGAAGCGGCTCACATGTGACGCGCGACATGTTACGAGCGAACGCCCGACGATGGACGTCGCCATGTCATCCGCTGGGATCGATCTCTATCGTCGTCGCAGCGGTGACGGAGGCGCCGGTCCATCCCTCTCGGCGGGTGATGATCTCGGCGGGGCCGACGCGCGCGTTCTCGTACGCGCGACGCCACCAACCCCAGTCGACGCTATGGAATCCGTGCGACGACGGCGCGGCGTCGGTCTCGTCGACGTCGTCCTCGAGCGTTGCGTAATCGGCGTAGTCGTTGGACGACGGCGCGGGCGCCGGGACGGTCCAGGTTGTCGGCTGCCATGACTCCAGGAAACCAGGCGCGACGATGGGCGTGAGCAGCGGCGCCTCGTACGCTCGAACGGGACCGAGTCGAACCGCGTCCACGTGAGAGCCGTGGAGCAACAAAAGCATCGCGACGGTACCGACGCACCAATCGAAGGCGGGGGATGATGACGAAGGACGCATCGAGCGTCGCGAACTGAGGATTGTTTTGTACTGTGTCACATGGGCATTCTACTCTCTGACAGTCCTACCTTGCGATGCCTCCGAATCATTCGATGGACGAGGCGACGCCATTCCCTGCTCCGGTGGAAGGAACACACTATTCTCCATGAACGAATTGAACCTCTTCGCGTAGAACTTGGGGCGCTGACACGAAACATCTTTGCCGCAGTATAAAAAGCTGGAGAAGAACCACTCTACCTTTTTCCGCGGATTCCACGTTGTGAGTATGTCTATGACGCCGATGAAAACGGCGCCCGCGGGCCGGTTCACCGTACGCAGTTGATTCAAACGCGCCACATCGTGTATGAACGGTGTGAACATGGACGCCTTTTCTAGTATAAGAATCTCCTCCGAGGTGTCGCTCTGGTGACCGATGGACTCTTCGTCGCTGTGATCCTTACTGTTACCGACCGACATTTTCTCTTCCATCTCGCGATCCGCCGCCGCCGCCATCGTCACCGCCGCAGCGCGCTGCCGGATCACCCAATTATCCGTTCCCTCGAACTCTTCGAACGCGCTTTGCGCCTCTAGAAGTTCCTTCGGCGTGGACGCTTCGTATTCGCCATACACGAGCGAGTAGTCTATGAGGTTTAACCCGCTCAGGAACTCGGTGTCCTTTCGCAAAGCGTCAAGTATCGCTGTGTTGTGTTTCGTGCGCACCGCATCCTTGTCATCGAAGTCGTTGTCCTTATAAATACACGCGGAACCCTTCGCGAGCTCTCGCTCGCTTGCGTGACGTCCACACGTGCTCCCCTTCAAATCAAATCTTCGTGTGATGCTCTTCGACGAAGCGAACCAGTAGTTCATCACGATGAAGCTCAGCGGCCGTTTCGACGCGGCGAACTTGATGGTGTACAGGCCGTAAATCTGCGGAAGCATGCTCGTCGTTCCGTTTTCCCGTACGTAATCGAGATAGTCTGGCAAAATCCGCAATAGCGTCTTCTTCTCCTTCTCATCGCACGTCTTCACGAGCAACGTCCCGTCCTCGCTGCAGAAGAACCAACTTTTCGACTTCCCGCTCGCCAAAGCCTGCGAGATCACTCGCAACGTCGTCGAACTCGTCCCCAAACGGCCGCCTTCCGTGGTCACCTTCCCTTGCTTGATGTTGCCCACGACGCTCACCGCGTCAAACTTCGCGTTCAGACCTTCCAACCGAAAACTCTCCCCGTACGACGCCGCGCCCATCCCCCACGCCCTTCTCAACTCCGCGAACTCCTTCGGCGCCTCGACAACGTAGGCGAAATCCGGCAGCGCCTCGTCGTTCGCCAACCGCAGTCCGCTCGCGCTGTACACCTCCCGCGTCACCCCACCCATCTCCGGCCATACGCCATCGTACACCCCGCTTTCAAACGCCTCTCTCTCTCCCTGCATCGCCGTGAACGCAAACTGCAAACACACCCCGAGATGATTCGTCAACATGTCCGCGTCGTCGTCCACGCCGAGCCGATTCCCTCGGTGCACCTTGGTCCACAGTCTGCGCACGCGCATCGAGCCCGTCTTCGACTGTCGTATCCGCAACTTTCTGAATTGTCGATTGAAATGTTTCTTCGTCAGGCTGAATCCGCGCTGGATCGCCTTGGCCGTCTCATCGGCGACGAGCGCGATGTGTTTTCGTCCAGCGGAGGTTTTTTGGCGTCCCGGCGCGTCTTGAACGACCGACGTCGACGTCCGCGCGTCGTTCGCGCGCGTCGACGGTGGCATCGAGCGGCCCGCGGACGATGGCGTCGACGGTGGATCGGACGCGGCGCGAGGGGCGACGCACGAGGGGCGCGCCAGAGTGAGGACCTGGATTGTGGATTAGTGGTGGCGCAGATTTTTTCATCGAGCGCGCTCGGCGGCGCGCGGACGCGGACGCGGACGCGGTCGATGACGACGTCGATGGCGCGCGAGCGGATCTATTGTGGGATTTTAATTGAAAAGTGTTAGTACCGGGAGCGGCCGGAGGGATCACGCGGTGGCGCGCTTCGACGCGTGTTGCACGTCGTTGCTCAGGACGTGGCGGAAGTGGGAGTCGCCGCTTCGGAGCTTGCTCAGGGCGGTGTTGATCTCGCTGAGTGGGCTGATCGCGACCGCGGCGCCGATCTTGTGTCTGGCGCAGAAATCAAGCATCTGAACCATGTCCTTCTTACCGCCTGTGTTGGAGGTGGTTATGTTGTTCATGGTGAAGCCGAGCGTGAAGACGTCGGCGGAGATGGGTGGGCACATGCCGACGAAACAAATTGTCCCCCTCGGACGCAGGAGGGGGAAAAACTTGGAGAAATCGACCTCCTTGTTGGTAGCGATAGTCACTAATATGAAATCGAGCGACTGTGCGGCCGCTTCCATGGCTTCATCATCGGAGTGGAGCAAGAAGTGCGACGCACCGTGGGACATCGCGTCGGCGCGCTTGCTCGCTGATGACGAAATCGCCGTGACCTCTCTGCCGAGAGCCTTGGCGAACTTGATCGCCATGTGGCCCAGACCGCCAAGACCAAGCACGCCAACGCGATCACCCGATTTAGTTTGCTCGTTGAGCGGCGTCCATACGGTTTGACCTCCGCACAAGAGTGGCGCAACTTCCGCGGAAGCGAGCTCATCGGGAATCTTGTAGCAGAACTGCGCGTCGTTCAATCTCATGCGATCAGCGAAACCGCCCTTGTTGCCCTCGCAACACGTACACCCGACGGCGGAGCACAACTGTTCGTCACCTCGAGCGCACCACTCGCAGTCATGGCAAGACGAGCTCTGCCACCCCACGCCCACGCGCTGGCCAGGTTTGAGCGTCGTCACCGCCGATCCCACCTGCGTGACGACACCGACGACTTCGTGACCGCACACCTGCGGCCAAACCGCGTACTCGCCGTAATCGCCCACGATCAAGTGATCGTCACTTCCGCACAACCCGCAGTACTCCACGCGTAGCTCCACCGAGGACGGGGTCATGTCTGGTAGTCGATACTTGATGGGCACGAGATCCTCGTTTTGCGCCAACGCCGCATAGCCTATAGTCGTGTCCTTGTCGTCCGTCTGAAGCTCGCCACTGTACTTCTCCAAAAGAAGTGCGCTCACGAGGTTCTTTCCCCAGGCGTCGTCCACGGAGAAGAGCGCGTCGTCCTTCTCGTTCGCGGATCTGAAATGTTCGCCCTCTGCCTTGAGTTCAACTTCCATGGCGTCAATGGTGAGCAAGACGCGCTGAAGCACCTCTTTACCCTCCGCCGCACCCGCCTTGACGGCGTTGAGCCAGCCCTCGTAGCTGCACAATCGAAGCGCGTACTCGGCGTTGAGCCAATCGTATAGCTGAGAGAACTCCATGAGTCGACCCTTGACCTCTCGTGAGACGCCATCGTAGGCGTAGCGATCGTACTTGCCATCCGTTGAGATGGAAGAGAGCATCTTTACGCAATCATCGATGGACAAAATACTCACAGCCCAGTCCGTGCGCGGGAAGAATCCAGTCTCAAGGCACGCGCGGAGGAAGATGACGATGTAATCGTCATCGGGGGCGAGCGATCCCTGAGCGCGAGAGATTCCGATATCACCGAAGAGCAACACTGCCGACTCGACCGCAGCCTCCTTTTGCGCTCGTGCGCACAAGAGCTCGGCGACCTCTTTGCTCCGTCGGTATCCCGTCGGAACTTCCCCTGGAAGCGGGTACTGCGTCGAGATGAGGATGTGCTTGGCACCCGCGCGCGAGGCGATTGCGAGCCCGTTGTACGTACCGCCAACGTTTACTTTTTCGAGAGCTGAGTATGACTTAACCATGTTCACCTCGGCGCCACCGCTAATGACGACGTCGATGGATTCGAGGATCGGGTTCAAGACGTCGTCAAGGATTCCGTACGACGGTTTGGCCATATCACCGCACAAAAAAGTGGTCTTCGCCGTGATCTTATCGTGGAAAGTGATTCCGCGCTTCGTGAAGACATCGACCACACGATTCTGCGCCGACGTCTTGTCCTGAGCACGAACGACGGCATATATCTTGCCGATATCGTCCGTCTTCGCGAGCTCTTCGAGTAAGTACGCTCCGAGGAAGCCAGTAGCACCGGTAAGCAGAACAGTCTTCTTGCCCGAAGCAGTCTTCCTTGGCGTACGGGCAAAGTTTGTAAAGTCGTACTTCGCCACTTCAACGTCAGGTTCAAATTTGGCATTTTGATAATCCTCAGAAAGGATCGCCATCTCAGCCAAAGTGGGTTTTGCGATGACCTCAGGTACAGTGAGGCTCACACCCCACTTTTTCGACAGTGCCGCGGCGAGCTCGACGAACTTCAAGCTTCCACCGTAATCGAAGAAGCTCTCGCTCGAGGCGAACGTCTTCTCCGGTTGATCCAGAACTTGGCGCCATACCTCGACAACTTCAGCTTCCTTCGTCGACAGTTCGGCCGCTATGGCCGAATCTGTGATCTTACTCAGCCTACTAACGTCGAGTTTGCTCGCCTTGCCCGAAGTCGCCGTGGAAACCTTGTCGCCAAAGTCATAGAACGTGGACGGAATCATGTAATTCGGCACGTGCTCCGACATATGCTCGCGCAGCTCAATCTCCGTCGCTCGCATACCGCTGTGAAACGAAATCCCCGCTACCAGTTGCTGGTCGACGTCAGAAGTGCCCACGGTGCTCACGATTGCTTGTTTGATGACAGGCATCTTCAGAAGGACGTCTTGCACTGCGATGGGCGAGACTTTGAACCCGCGAATCTTAACATAAGACGACTTTTGTCTCGACTCAAACGTCAACCGGTTGCGACCGAGCCACCTAACGAGGTCGCCGGTGAAGTACCAGCCACCGTCAATCGAGGTGTAACCGCTGTCGGAGTAAAAGCCGCACAGTAACCCGCTCTTTTTGATGTGAAGTTGACCCACGGTCCCACGAATTGCAAGTTTACCGTCATCGGTCAGCACGCGCGCTTGCGTTCCCTCGCGAAGGAAGAAGGCTCCGCCGTAATCCGATATCGCGAGATCACCAGTCTCGTTCGTGCTGTAGACGTCGATCAATCGAGTTCGGGTGAGAGCGTACGTTCTGCGACGAGGATGCGCGTCTGCATGCGTACACGCTCACCTGTCAATAAAATAGTGTGCACTTCTTTCAGCCCGTCAGCGAACTCGCGCGGCGTGCAGTGAAGCAAGCAGCTCTCCAGGATGCTCGGACTGAGGTAGAGCATGGTCATCTTTTGTTTTTGGATGTACTGCACCAGCTCTCGTGGCTTGAGGAAGAAATCGTTGGGAATGATTGACATTGTGCGTCCAGCGAGCAGTGGGATGAAGAAGTAGTAATAAACCCAGAAGCTCCCCATCACGTCGTCGCCGCGCATGTGTGGTCCTATAACCGTCTGTGAATCCGTCAGCGCAGATTGCGGACAGCAAAGAATTTTACTGACACCCGTTGTACCACTCGTGAGAACAGAAAATCCCGGAGCATCCGGGGTGTCGGGACGAGTGAGCGCGGGATGGAGTTCGCCGCTCAAGTCCGCGTCGCAGTCAACATCCTCGATGATGACGATCATATGCTGGAATTCTGCCGGCACGAACTTTGAGAGATCTCGAGAAGTAAGGATGACTTTCGATTCGTTCAACCTCAACACGCGCTCAAGATCGGTGTCGCGGTACCATGCGGGGATCTCGCAAAACACAGACTCACACAACAGCGAGCCCATAGCGCACCAAACAGAGGACGCAGAGGCAAGAAGAAACAAGCCGACTCGGCAGTTCGTCCCGCCTCGCTCGGTGAGGATGTTCGCAACGTGATACGCGCGGGAGTACACCTCTCGCAACGTGTACGTGCTCGTCGCGTCGGTGACGCACGGTTTGTTCGAACGAGCGTCTTGAAGTGCCATTGCCAAACCTGATCGCCAGTGCGTCGCCGCCGTTGTCGCCTCGTACGACGCAGCCAATCCGTTCACTTCTTCCACCTCCTTCGCAGCCTCACTTTGAGCGGTCTCGATGTCATCTATCACGCTCTTTAGCACCTCGTCCATGACGGTTTGGTCCGCGAGAGATTCCTCGCGAACCCATGTGTACTTGTATCCCTCTGGGACCACTCGGTGATCCATCTCGTCGACGCACACGATTCGGACGATGGACAGCGTACCCTCCTTTTGTGCTCGCTCACGAAGAGCTTCCGCCATGTACAACGTCGGCTTATGGTTACCGACCAGTACAATGGGTTCGTCAAAGAGGAACGGGCACTTCTTTGAAGCCTCAGCTATTTCTGTTGATTTGAATTCATACACATTGACGCCGCTCAATCGAGCTGCGGCCAGTCGAGGAGCCATGTCCGTCGCGCCTTCGTCCGATGCGCACAAGACAACAGAAAACTTGCACGATTTGACGCCAGTCTCGGTGGATTGTCGTAAAATCGGCCACTGATCTGCCGATTCGGATCTCTCCCACGACACCGCTTCATAATATGGTTGATTTTTAGCCGCCGCTTCGTGGACCTCCGAAGGGACGTTCTGCAACGGCGGTTTGTCCACAGCTGTGAATCCGGTCGATTTTGCCGCATCGTCGTGCCATCCGCGAAACTTGATCCATGTCGACAGCTCCGCCGGTTTCCAGTGCAACATCGAGCTCTCGAAATTTACTGACGCAAGCTTGCACAACTCTTGCATTGTCGCCTCAGGTCGAGCCAACAGATCGGCGTCGGCGTCGATCACCATGACCTTGGCGTTGATGCGCTTGAGGGCATTCACGATGCCAAACGCTTCCACGAATCCAGCCTCGGAGGGATCAAAGTACGTGCTCTCCTCGGGAGACTCAATGGAGACTCGATAGAATGATTCCAACGCGTGCTCTGGGCGTCTAATGAGAACCACGTGCGAGAATCTCTTAAGCCAAGACGAGTTCATTTGAGTCAAATCGAAATAGCACGACAGTTCTTTGGAGAAGAAGAAGGGACGACCCTGCGCAGAGTAGTCTGCCGTCATCACCTCCAACATGGTGGCGTAACTGCACCCGCTGCTCGCGAGCTGTTGCTCCGATTGCCCACTCACAATCTTGGCGTAATTCGTCGGGTTATTCTCCTTGAGGTACGGTTCGGTAAGAAGCTCATGCATAACCATGGACTCGGAGTGCTTTGACAACGAGCGCTCGAGCGCGGTGCTTCGAGAGCGCGTCACCGCCCACACAATGAGCCGCTTTTCGTTGTGTGACGCGTGCGGAGACGCGTTCTCCAGAGACATCGGATACGAGCTTCCTTGCGCCGTGCACCACGCGCACATCCCATCCTTGAGCACGTACACGCCCGAGCACCCAGCGCGCTCAAGCGCGGACGCTACCATCGGCGCGGCGTCGACGCCGCCGGATCCTACCACCGCCACTGGCATTGTCAGATCCAACCCCGCGCTCTCGAACAACGCCGTAAGATCGCTCTCCGTGCACTCGAGAATGCGCTTGTAATACAAATTCTTCGCCCCCGGGACGTGCCCCTCGCGAAACCCCTCGAACTGAATCGCTCGTCCTTGTATCCGCACGTGCGCGCAGTCCCGCGCCGCGCCCGCGAAAACCTCCGGCGCGCGACAATCCAAAACCTGCAACCGCTGCGTGCTGAGATTCGTCAACAGCTCGCGAGCGGTCACCAATCGCCCCTTGCCCTTCTCCCGCGCCTCGCCCTCGTACTCCACCGAGTCGTACTCCCGCGCGCTCTCCTCGCCCGTCTCCACGACGCCGCCGCACGCCTCGTACGCCTCCAACCCTCCTCGCATCACGCGCACCGCGCCCTCGTGCCCGTGTTCAACGAACACCCACGCCACTCTCTCCGCCGCGCACGAGTCACCGCTCTGCGCGTACACCACGACGTCATCGCTCGCGCGCGTCCCGAGCGCTCCGCCCGCGTACTCCGCGTGCGTCGCCCTCGACGGAAACGCCTGCGGTAACGGCGAGCTGAGATCACACGACGCGTCGTGGTCGTAAAACACCGCCCCCGGGATCCGTTTCGTCGCGAACGCCCGTCGCCCGTCGCCGTCGGCGGACCACGACGCGTCGATGAAGCGCGTTTTCATCGATGATGTCTTCACATCATTCACGATCGTCGCCGCCGTCGCGTACGCCGGCATCGCGCGCGCGCGAGCGCCCCCGCGCGGACGTCGTCGTCACCGCGCGCGCGCCGATCGCTCGCGACGCCGCGAGTCGTCGCGCGGGCGACGGATGACGCGCGCGAGCGATTCAAAAAACCATCACTCATCATCGCGCGCGGCCTCGGGGGTGGGCGTCGCATACATCGATGCCAAACATCCCATGTATGCGTCCATCGGCGTCGTCGGGGTCGCGGTCGATTTTTTAGGGGTTCGGGAGTTAGGGTTGTGGACGAATGCGGGTATTAGGGTATAGGGTATAGGGTTTAGGACTGCGGGTCGAGCGCGCCGGCCGCGCGTCCGTCGACCGCCGCGCGTCGACGCCCGACGCCCCCGCGCGCGCGTCGACGCGCCGAGCGAGGTGAGATACGCGCGCCCGAGTCGTCTCGGTCGTCCGCGCGCGACGCGATCGAGCGCGCGCGGCGACGCGTCGCGATGATTGATAAAAGTGAATTACTCGCGCACGCGAGGGCGTGCGCGGTCGCGACGTACGGCACCGCGCGCGAGTGCGAGCGGTGGAACGATCTCCGCACCGGGACCGCCGCGCTCGCGTGCTGCGCGTGGGCGTATCCGGAGTCGTACGAGGCGGTCGTGCTCGGGACGCAGGGGCGGGGGCGGGACGACGACGCGCGTCGCGCGCGAACGCGGGCGGCTTCGAAAGCGCCGTGGGACGCGGTGCGAGGGATCTTGGCGCGAGAACGGGTGCCGGCGAACGCGTTGGACGTCGAGGCGACGATGCGCGGTGAGTTTCAGGCGACGTTTGATTTGTTCGCGGTGCTGTATTGGCAGCGGGCGTTGCGACGACGCGCGGTGGAGGGCGGGGACGACGACGCGTTGGAGATTTCGTTCGCGCGTCGTTTGAATCCGGGAACGCGAGCGTACTGCACGAGACAGGAGACGAGAGATCGGGCGACGCGATTGGCGCGTAAGCAACACGCGGCGACGAGTCGCGAGGCGAGCGGCGCGAGCGCGACGGGCGTCGCGAGCGCGACGGGCGTCGCGAGCTCAATACAAAAGGCGGATTCGACGGTTGACACGGTCGTGAAGGAATCGGATATCGAACCGCGAGCGGCGATGGCGGCGACGACGCAGTCGATGACGATCGAGCAGTGGGAGACGCTCACGGAGGTTCGATGGGAGTTGGAAAAGACGAAGGAGCTCTTGGAGGCGCGAGAGCGCGAGCTCGAACGCGCGCACACCTCGGAGTCCCCGACCGCGACGAGACGGCGAGAGACGAAAATGAAGGAGCTGATGGAACAATTGACGCACGAGCGCGAGGAGCGCGAACGTGCCGTGCGCGAGCGAGACGCACTTAGAGACGAGCTGAAACATGTGCGCACCGAGGTCTCCGCGTTGATGAGCGCGACGGTTTTATCTCAGGGCAACATGGAGTCGTTTAATTCTGTGGATGTTCGCACGCACGAGGGGCGTGCGATCGCACAGACGATGATCGACGTCATGGATTGCGTTCGAAAAGCAAACGCGGATATTCGGAGGGAGCGCGCGCACGATCGGGGCGTGCCGTCGCCGAGCGCGCACCTGGAATCGGATGGGAGCCTCTCACCGTCCTTCATAGCGCGTATGAACACGTTCGATCTCAGCGAGAGTAGCGTGCGGCGAGACGAGCGAGACGAGCAAGAGGAGACTCGCGACGAGAACGAGATTGAGCACTTCACCACGGCATCGCCGCAGCATCATCGGAGTGCGTCTCGCGAGAGCGGGCCGACCGAGTACGATTCCCTTGATAGCGTCGCGTAGTAGCTCTGAAATAGCCCGTACTGGTAGTTCATATTACATTTCATCATCATCATACATCAAAAAGCGTTCAGTGTTCAGCATGCTACGATGATGTGTATGTCGTAGAAAATATTTCACTCGACTCTTTACGTCGTTAGCACCTCGCTGCGAGTTCCATCAGGAGATCCGCCCCCACGTCGTCCACATCGGGAATGCTCGCCCCGACGGTCTCACCCGGCGCCAAGGTGATATCCTCCTTCCAGAGCGATAAAAACTCCTTTACGCCATCCTCCGCGTACTCGACGCAGTGCCTGAGCTCGATGGGATCGTAGTCCACAATCTTACCCGGATACGACGCCTTATCAAGCGGCCAGAAGACGAAAATTTGTTTACCCACGACGGTCTTGCCTTGGATCGTGAGCTTGGCACCGATGTGTCCTCGGCTCGCGCTATCCGCTGCCTCCACTCGAATACACTTGGGCGACTCTGAGTTGCCGTCGGCAGACACGCTCGTGCACACCTTGCACATGCAACCTCGCAGCTCTGGCATGGGCGACCCACCGCGAGAGCGGAACTTGTGACCTCCATTCTTCATTGCGATTTTGCGCAGTTTGTCGCGCTCCTGCATAGTCTCTCTAATAAAATGCTCGTCGTTCGCCTGCTTCAACGCCGCTTGGAATCGCGACTTGTTCCTTGCCGGATCGCGACTCTTCGACTCGTAATGCTCGCTAAAATCTAAGCAGTTCTCCTCCCGCACCCACCCGAAGGAATTTTCGCCAAAAAATACGACGAGAACTTCTCCGTCTCGAGACATCTTGCGCGCGTCCTCGGGGATGAAATCAGTCTCGAGATTAACGCGCAAGCCCGGCCAAAACGGATGCCCCGGAAGCTTTGCCCATACCAGTTGGTTCTGTTTTCGCGAACTCAGACCGACGCCGGCGACGAAGGACATTCGTCCACCCGAACCAGGTGAACCAGTGTCGTAATCTCCCCCCGAGGTGGGCGTTCTGGAGTGCTTGAAGCGCTTGGCCTCCGCCTCATCGGCGTGATCGACGACCAAGTGTCCGGACTTCGTCTTGATCAAAGGCAGCGAGCGCTCGACCAGAGTCGGCATCGCGGGCGGCATACTCTCGTGGTCCGGTGGCTGTTGCGGTAACGGCGTGGGCGTGGGCACGCTCGGAGGATCATCCAAGCGTTCAGACTCTCTCTTCACCTGCGCTCGTCGTGCGTTGATTACCGCTTCCCCATTGACCTCACTCGTTGGCGTCGCGCTCCTCTCCAAAGCCTGGAGCTGTGTTGGCACCTCCCAACCAGACTTTCTCAAAGCCCGCGCACATTCCAATGCGAGCTCTCTCGGGACCAGTGGTCCGCCCTCAAAGAAGGAGGTTGTGATAAAGGAGCCTAAACACGGAAGGTCGGTGATGAGCCGAACAAAGGGCGAGCACAGGGCGCTCATGCGACCGTTACCGACGTTGAACGCCGCCCCCGGCCAACTCTTCGGGATGAGCTCGCGAAACGGTACAGATTCCGTCGTAAATTTCATCGAGTATGGATCTGCCAAGCGCGTGCCCAACCAATACGAGCACGACACGCATCCATCCGTCGATTTGAGCGCGTCCCAGCGCGACTGTAGCTCCTCACGCGGACTCCCGTGCACCGTCGGCCTGGTCGTCATCGTCCAACCCGGAGGTAACCCCTGTAAGCGCTCGGCGTCGTGAATGCTCATTGGTATCAACCCTCCCGCCGCGGTGAGCACGCACGCGCTCGATTCAGGGTGAAATCCTTGACACACGTCGGCGTACACGCAGAAACCGCGCTCGGGATGTCGATTGAACACAAACGTGTGCTCATTCTCGTGCGACCGCGGTCCGATCTTCAACGATCCCGCATCCTCGGTGAGTAAAACATCTCGCGGATCGCCCACGCGACTGGCGACGAGCAACACTCTGGCGCTCACGTCTGGCACCCCAAACGCCGCCGAGGCGACTGTTCTGTGCGCCCACGAGTACCCCAATCGCTCCAACTCGGTGACAAAGCCGTGAATCAACGGCGGTTCACCCTGCGCCCCCCCGTCACCGGCGTCTAACATCTTCCCTCTCGCCTCGATCACCAACCACGGCACTCTGCTCCCGCACCCGAGGCGCAACGCGTGCTTCAGCGCCCCCGCCGCGCCGTCGCGCGTCCACGACTCTCGCCACGACCCCTCGTACTCTCGCGTCATCAACCCAACGAACAACACATCCGTATCAATCGGCAAGACGTCCATCTCCGACGCCTCTCGCGCTCGACGGACGCCCTGAAACCGCGCGTCCAAAACCGCCCGCGCCGCCTCGTCGCGTTCGCACTGCGCCCGCACCTCGTGTCCAGCCTGCGTCAATCTGCGCGCGCGCGATCACGTGCATCACTCATCGTCAGTCCACCTCTCGCGTCGTCCCTCGCGTCACCCGTCGCGTCGTCCACGACCGCCGTCGTCGTCCACTCGAGCGCCGCGCGGGCGTCGCGAATCACCATTCACGACACCAACATCGCGCTCGACGCACCCGTAATCCACCGCCCCGCATCCGGTGAAGAGCGTCACCGCGCGTAACGTCCGCGCGCGCGGTCCCGTCGCCATCGCGCGCGACGCCGAGCGCGGGGGCGGGCGGGGCGGGGCGACGCGTCGCCGCGGTCGTGGGGTCCGCGTGTGGCTCGGTGAGACCCGCGTGTGGGTCCGCGTGTGGCTCGGTGAGACCCACATGTGGGGTCCGCGTGTGGCTCGGTGAGACCCGTTGTGTGGGCGAACAGTGCGCGAGGGGACGTCCACCGCGCGCGCGCGCGATCCCGACCGACGCCCGGCGCGCGACGCCGCGGACGCGTTCGCGACACCGCGGCGCGGCGAGATAATTTCCCGCGCATCCGCGCGCGCGCGCGCGAGCGACGACGCGACGCGATCGACGGCTCGCGAACGTCGATCGCGATCGCTCGCGATGGCGGTCCCGCGCGCGCGATGGCGTTCGAATGCGTCCGCGGCGTCGCGCGCGCGGGCGTCGATGCCGCGCGCGCGCGATGCGAACGCGCGGGGCGATCGCGCGGGGGCGATCGCGCGCGCGGGGTCGATCGCGGCGCGCGAGAAGGGGGGGGGG